ACGTTACATCTTTGCAGTAGCAAGGAGGTTAAACACGATCACTAATATCTCATGTAATATGGTGTAATCCTAAAACGTCTTACCAGGGCGTTCGGTTCGCTTACAATTGCATGATTATACTCCCAAGAATACCTAAATGTAATTTATATTTCAGCCAGCAAAAGATTCCTCCCTCCGCTATTTCTTCATCTCATAAAATTTACTTTAACTCTAAAAAGATTTAGATCATAGACAGCTCCGTATTAAGAATTAATTATATCAAAAACTGAGAAAATTTTCTCAGCTTCTTGAAAGATTGAAAGTGAAAGCGTAAAACAGTTATCAACTTATCTAAGAAAAATTTTACATTTAAGAATATTTTATCTGCTCTAGATATGCTAAAAGCAAACTACAGAAATACGTGACGTAACATGTTCTTTACACCGGGCATTAAATGAAAATGGAATTTTCATTTAATAAAGGAAATTTTAACATTTTTGCTTTATCTTCAAGAAGTTTAAAATTTATCTAAAGTTTATGATTTTGTACAGCTTAAAAAAATAAATGTTTTATATATTAACAAGTCTTTCCAAATCGCGTAATTATAAAGTAATTTAGAGTTTTAAGTAAAACAAAAATTTAAATATAAAATTTTAATATACGTGTATATTAATTTATATATATCATCTTTTTTTTTAATATAAGACATTTAAAAAAATGATTTTATCAAAATTAATATTATTACAACGCAAATATCAATTTGATCAAATTTGTATAGTAAATGTATCATGTCATAGAAAAACATGAAAAGATGATAAATTCGCTGTACGATAATGGCAGTGTTTCCTAATCATAATCGGCCGCGGAAGCCTTTAAAACGAATAGCGTTTATATACATCTTTATTTATGAATTAAGCAAATAAGCAAGAGATCGATATATCAATAGCATTAAAATTAAAAAGATCACAGTTAATATCAACATAGAATCAAGCTCAAGAAGTATCGTGCGCCGTTAACATCTTCTTCGGAGAGTTCACGCATTTTTATTTATACTTTATTACCAAAAATTTTTCTGCGAAATATTCTTTGCTCATTTTTCACCCTACAGCTTTAGACTATTATTACCTTAATCCTGAGATGTATTTTGGGATAGGATCCCGAATATATCCCGCCTCCAATATTCAAATATTTTATACATCCTAGGATTAAAGATCGCGTGTTGAGAAGGAATATGCAGGGCGAACAAAGTGCTACAGCCCCGGCTAGAAAGAGAGAGACTACACCACCCTTCGCGACATATATATAGCGCAAAATGCATAACGCAGTCTTGTGACACGCACCTGACCATGCAATGGGCGGCCGACAGGACGAACCTACAGGTGACGTAAGTGCCTCCGCACGAGTGACTAAAGCGTCGACGTTGCACCGAGACCTAAGAGGAATTGACTTTGAAAAATTCGGATTCGCCGAGTCCGAGTCGAATCGGTTTGCCCCATTAACCCTTGCGCCCTAATTCAAGTACCACCATATTCGAGACCACTTGAATCTCAATTTCATCAATAATTTTCCCCTGACCCTTTATCATCTCTTTTATATTTATTCTCCATTGTTACATCTACAAGAAAGACACTTCGTACAATTTTTTTCTTATACAAATCATGCGATTTCAAATAATCCCTATTTCTTCAACACTTCAAGTAAAGTAAATGCATTTTACTGCATTTCATTTTAACGCAGCAACATCCGTATTTCACAATTCAAGATAATGCTTGAATTATTATATATTGAAAATTGAGATTTCGGTTGTCTCGAAATATTCAGAATTAATTTGGCATTTGAACATTCAAAGTGCATCGGTACCGTCGACATTTAAATATGCGCGTAAATGAGAAATTACAGAAATCAGAAGCGCCGAAAATGTACGACTAAATCTAACTTGTGCTTTATGGAATAAAACTGATATCAAAGTTTCCGATAGAAATTGGTCCTACGTGAATTTATCCGAGAACTTTCTAGTTTATTGTAAGATCAAAGTTCCAGTCAACCAAAACTTGGCTCTGTCATCGTTATATTATTTTATTATAAGCTACCATCGAGATGTCTGGTTTGGAACAATCTGATTTCATGAAAGAGCGTTAAAAGGTTTATCGATCGTTCTCCGTGCTCGCGTAAAATCGTTAAATATTTCGCCATGTCAATTTCAGGGGTTGATAAAACGCCCCCGGACTTGCATAATACACTCGGCACTGCTTTCACATTTTTGACGTTCAGAATCATTACGCTACGCACATTCGGGTGAGAGGTGTGAGGAACGGTACCGATGTTCCTCGCAAAGGTTAAAGGGCCTGTGGGCGCGTCGCACGCGTACGATGAACGGATAATTCTTGATGTCGCTGATCTCCCCGCCGACGATGCGCACCGCCACGTCGGTCGTCAACTCCCACGGCGTCGTGTTCGTTTCGACGCCGGTCACTAGGGAAATCGGGCAGATATACAATATTAGGACGACCACCACCGCGAGGAGCGTCATGACTCGCGTGCGAGCCGCGATAAAAGTTTAGCGGGATCCTCCATTTTCTGTGGCCACGCTCCGCTCGATTTTCGTTTTTTTTTTTCCGCTCTCTTCCGCTAATTTATATCGAGTCTGCTCTCGCCAGCTGTGCACCTTACGTTTTCCGCTGGAGGTCGAGATAAATAAGTCATCATCGCGTTCCGACAGGTTTTCCGCTTTCGCGGAGCGCACGTGCCAACGAAATCCGTAATATATCTCGCGGAAGATAAAAGTAGAACCTTATGTGCGTAGTACCGTATGAATGTATTGATTGACGTGAAGTACTCCGAATATAATCCTTTCCGCACACATACATACTCGGTGATACCTCATCCCTTTCTCTCTTCGCAAACCTCAAAATCAATTTTATATGCGGAAGGCGCAGCCAGAAAGAGCAAGCTTGCATGAAATTCGCGCTGTAGTAAATTTCGCTTTTGACAGGCTAGAGTGAACGCTGGAACGAATAAGAATAGCTTTATTAGAGAAAGAGAGTGAAAGGTCGTTAAAAAAGACAATTTCTTTTCTATATTCAATTCTCAATGTTGCGATCTTGCTTTCCGAGCGAAGAACATCGCCCAGCAGACTAAGATTCTGCTTGAGATATTCTCTAATATGCGGACAATATGAAAAGGCACTTTTCAATTAAAATATCATTACTAAGCTTTCAAACTTTGCTTAGACGACCGATGCCTGCTCTTTTACGTTGTAAATACAATAAAAATTAAAAAGTAGTTATATTTATTGCAAGTTTGAAAGCATGTAAGAATTTACACGCGATTGTATTAGTTATCTCGATTTTAGCAAATAGTTGCAATCTGAAATATGCATAAAAATTCATTGATCATAAATATATTCTTTACCTCTATAAAGCACTACGTAGTCAATTGTTGTTCCCTACGTTTCCTCTTTCCTCTAACTATGACAATTAATTTACCACTTAGTAAACTGCCGTTTTAACTTTATATTAATTGTAACCGAATTCGATCTCGCGTGAGTATCTAGTCATAACGTAGCTATAGACTTATGTTTGTAAGGTTCGATCCGTGAAGCTATCAAAACTTTTTTTTTTTAAGTTAAAATTAGTCTCTAACTAGAGACGACGATACGTTCTCTCTGATTATCCTAATAATCAAGATTAGATTAGTACTCTAAAGCCTCGGAAAGCATCGTTCGCGTTCACTCTAGTATAACGCTCGTCGATATAATCCTTTTAATGTTGGAAAGTACCGTCAGCTTAGGTAGTCATACTAACATACTCTTACGCTATAGCCAATATGGCTGTTTAAAGTTGCTGGTATTTAGTACAAGTACCGACAGCATAGAGAGAATTACGATTTCTCGCGAGGAAGTGCCAACACAGACGGAGGATAATCCCATGGTTTGGTCGTATGGCGACACCGTTCGGTGATACCGAGGAGATGGTACATCGTGTCAAGTCTTTTAAATTGCGTCAAAGTCACATCGACGGATAACGCGCCCAATAGTGTTCCAAAAAGTTGGCCGCAAGCACGGCGGCTGTAATCGCTACTTCTACAGATGGTCGAGTCAGAGTTCGATCGAATCAGTCCGAGCCAGTCTCTTACTCGGCTCCAATAAAATCAATATAACGTTCCATCCCTTGAATTACAAAAAGATAAATAACGAGATCAGATTGATTGAACTCAGCGGAAAGAAATTACGTATCATCGTTTAGTTTATATGTATGTACATATTTAATATATTAAAAATTTTATATATTTATAAAATTTATAATACATATATTTATTATATATAACGAATAAACGATCATATAAATATTATTGATCAGTCTCTGACTCGAATACGTCTAAATATGTCTTTACATCTAATGTCTTATATCTTCTTCTCGCAGTTCTCTAGATGCCTAGCCGCTGTTGCGGTGTTTTTTAAGCTTGCCTCTATACTAAAATTCACACCGAAGGAAGTCGTAATGTAATACTGATTGTGAATCGTACATCCCGTTTCATCGATATCCTTCTCAGTTTACAATAGTGAAATAGAGAAGATTCGAAAACAAGAACGGCTTAAGTGAGCGTTCTTATATGCGGCTCATATGTTTTGTATAATATAATTTATTAAAGTAATTGCTTATTAAAGAGAACAGCTCGGGGATGTTTCAACACATGCAAAAATTTAAGAGCCTTACACATCATCGTATTTGACTTACGCCATTCTTGTTTAGAATTTCTTATGCATAATGTGTTTTCTACGGAGCACTAAGCTCCAGATTACGACAGTAAAATGACGGTGAACGTTTGCTCTAAAATCTATAATCTATTATACGCGGTTGACTTTTCTCTAGATTATTGTCGGAAAATTGATCTCATATCTGTATATTATCATGAAACATCATGAAACGGGGCGTAAAATATAAACAAATCACTTTACACTTATCGCAAATTAAATTGAAATTATTTTTTTTTATCACGCTCTTGATGGATCGAACGATGTGAAAATGACAGAAAAAGAAAAATCTACCAATAAAAAAATGGGAAACTGCTATTGAAGAATGGAATATCGTCCTGAAAGAGAAAAATCTATTAAAACGATTCGACTGATATTAAACGTTTTTTACAGTCACGAATCTTTTTGCATAGTTTTTATAAAAATGCCCGCAATAACACGAACGTATTTGCTAGCTTAAAAAACATTGTATTTCCCCAGCGGCGAGGCGAAACTAGATGAAATGTTATATTACGCGTATCGGAAAACCATATCATTTTTAAAGTAAAATATAAATTACGTAATGTATAGATCTCATATGATATTTCAATAACATTAATATAGCTCAGATCTTTATACGTTTAACAATACGTTTAACAATAAAGTCATGTTTTACTTTAAAAATGTAATAAACTTTATTTTTTTTTTTAAAGATATTTTAATTAATTCAACAATACGAGTATTTACACCATTGTGCATTACGTATCATCAGTTTCTTACTATAAATAAAAATATTTCACGTTGCAAAAATATTTTTGTATAGTTTGTTTTTCTTATTTTTTTTGCTTTCATTTTCAGACAATAATTTATAGAATTCGATATGTTCTACATAATAAATAGATTCAAATGGAATCGAAGGAAGAGACATAGCTTTCCGACACACCTTGCCGAGTAATCGGATATTGTTTCTCTTGTTAATGGGATTGATATGTTTCGCGAGATAGACGACGCTCGTTATAAGCAATAATCGAAAATAGTTTGCGCACGAAGAAGCCGCGTCTATGAGTTTACAAAACTTCTGCAAAGACAATAAAACCACTGCCCCCGTGTATTTCGACCTATCGAAGGAAGACATTGTGATTGTTCGATCTTACGTTCATCGCCTTAGTATCCTTACGATTACGTATGTTACAGCCGAATTATCCTAGAGCAATTGACTTTTATTAAGGAATAAACTCGTGCATCGCGCTCAGTATGCACAATATCATAAGTAGCGTTAGTTCTCGTATGAGAATCGCCGCGGAAGACGTCACATCCGGTGCTGGTATGATTTCCACTGAAACAAGTCGTATGTACAAAAGACGGAACGTATTGTTAATAAATTGTTAATTGTTGATAGAATATGAAAGTTCTAGCCTTGGCCTTCAAAGTAAATGCAATAAACTGTAAATTTTACAGAAAGATCAGCTCATGAGAACTAGTGTTTCTTTTATTTCTGACAATGTCGGTCGTTTAATAAAATAATTTCTTGGATTTATTTGTGTGGGATTAATTTTCATTTTTAAAAATCGGGCATCCTGCATACTCGGTGATTAAAAGTTGTTAATATATTTCGTAATATATATAATATACGAAAAAAAATTCGTCGAATTTAACATCTTTCCATCGTGAAAAACTTACCCGACACCGTCTTTTTCCTAATATCGGCAAATTGCTCGTGGTGCATGGCAAAATCTGGTATCGTTGCCCGACAACTGATCTCCAGATGTCCATTCTGGCCAGCGTGCAACGCAGAAACTTCCACCTTCAGCCTGGCGGTGGCGGACATCAGATGGTTCTTGTGATATGTATGCGGATAGTGAGTCACTAAAGCAATATCCACCTGGCGAAATCAATAACCAGAAAATTCGCAATCGAGTAAAGAACATTTCTATAAAGATATTAAAGAACTTAATTGAGCGAAATTATATTCATGTAAATTCAAATAGATTTTTATACACACAAAGCGCGTAAAAAATCTATTAACGTCATGTTAAAGCGTTTAAATGTCGTAAAAATACGAAAAAAATCAGAAATATATAAGTTTCTTTAAATACATGGCTGGTAAAATCGTCAGACAATGGTAGACGCGTATTCTTTTTACGGACTTGTTAAAATCGAAATTACATTTTAATCTCTATTGTCCTTTACCTCTTTGTCGTTTATAAACCAAGTTATATAAGGTACTGGACGTGCAGGCGAGGATGTACAATTCGCCTCCAGGCTCTCGCCGATCACGTATACGCTTTTCTTGAACGAAATTTTAGGAATTCCATTCTGTGGATCTAAAAAAAAAATGACAAAAAAATATCGGAGATGTACGATGCCATTTTAAGATTCTTGACTTCATCAACATTCAGATCTTGACATTTAATTCGAGAAATCTGCCATTATAAATATTACAGTATAAATTCCAGCAAAAACTTTCATGTCGAATTAATTAACATTGCTTCGGTTAGATCGATACTAATATGCTTAGTATCTAAGTTGCTACTTTCTAAAATTAACATAATCAATAATTTTAACGGCTAATGTCATCAGCAGAGAGATGTGCATTTATTTTTATTTTTATAAAACCAGCACTGTCACTCACGTATCACTTTCATCTCTACGGGATCAGCGCCAGCAGTATAAATGGGCGTTGTCATAGTGACTTCACAGGTATAAGTACCGGAAGTTTCGAAACGCACATCGTGCAATTTGATTGTCGTGCCATTTGGCGAATACTGTAAACAAATAACGACGTATTACTGCATTATGATCGATTAAAGTGACAATGCATCATTTTAATCGCGATACCTTTTGTATTAAAAAAATGACACATATATATACATAAGTAACAAATACTGTATAAACAACTGAAGTGTGTACAAAATTGTGTGAAAATTAGTTTCTCTCAAAGCGTGGAATTTCATATTCACGTCTGTAGCTTCTGGGCTCTTCAAACTTAGTAATTAAGCAAGCAAGAGCTACGTTTGCACGGGAGAAAATAAAATACCTTTACATTGTGGTGTTTCCGCGCTTTTCTTTTTTTAACGTCAGTCCTCCACTTTAAGACATGTCAAATTTAAAGCGTGTCAAAGATATGTTTAAGTACAAGTTTACAAGAATGACTTTCTATCAATTTACGTCATCAAAATTTGTCACTTGTATTCCTTTCATTTCAAGCTATTTCAATTATATCGAGTGGCTGCGTAAGTACAAAGAGAAATGCTTTGAAGGTACAAAACAATGCACTTTGAATAATGCAATCCAGGTCGCAGCGCGATAGTCGTTACTTTCTACCACTTTTGGTCCTGTTTTATGTTTAGATTATATCTATCAAGAATTCGCTTTAGAACGCATAATTAATTACATCTTAGAACTGAAATAATAAACGTTTCAATGATAAACAAAGATAAACTTTTAAATCGTAAATTAAATATTTGAAAAATTCTGTAATTTAATTTCTATCTTTTTTTTTCACTACTATCGCTTATCACAGAAATCATAGTATTATCGAGATAATATAATTGAAAGTTTCTATTACATTAACTCAATTTCGTTATTAAGTAACTTAGATCTAATCATTCTTAGCGTCCCATTTGTTACGCATATCTTTACCTACATCTGTCATGACATATTGTAATAACTTTAAGATATCTCAGAACTGTTGTTGTGTAGAACAGCCGCAAATTTTCTGTTGTCAACGGCGAAGACCTCTGATAATGACAATGTAAAATAGTTGTCTTAAATTAAACTTAATCATTAAACGGAAACTGAAATGGGAAATAAAAAAAAAGTAATAGGAGAAAAGAGCGTTCCAAAAAACATTCATAAAGAAAGAAAGAGAAGTGTCATGTAACTCGGTCGTGCAATTCGATCGATTTTTTTTTTCAGTGAGGATGAAATATATATAAAAGTGCCATGTACAGAAGGGTATTTCTCGGCATTTCTTCGCAAAGAAAGGGCGAAGAGTGTTTTCGGCACTTACAATCGCTCGTCGTCAGTAGCCTGAGACTCTCGCCAAATGGGCGTTCTATTTCTATCACGTGTAGCCTCATTATTAATGTGTTGACTCTACATACACGTCGACACAAACGCTTCGCCTTCGTGACGTGTGGTATCACATATGGATTAGCACGAGTATTGGTTTTCTCTACCTTATCTCTTTTTTTAATAGATCACCCATCTGCACCTCGTTTCTATCGAAAACATTCGCGAAGGAAATTGCGTTGCCATGCGTTGTTGCACGATGCCGTCGGGGGATCGGAACGATATTTCACGTGGCAGAGTACATGTACACGTACGTAAATAACTTTGCTTTGTGTCGATGTACATAAAGACTGCGCCTTAGGTAAATGCGTTAGCTTTGCTCGTTTAATCATTGGCAAGAGACAGGAGAGGACTCCTGTGGATATTCAGCTTACGCTATCGAGGGCAGCCTCGTTATTTTTGGATTTTTGTTTACAACAGTTTTTTCTTGTAAATCGTACCGATATGGATAAGAATACTAAGCTGTATTTTTATCTGTACACGTAATAATGTCAGGTTTAAAAAAAAGATGTTATTTTATTATATAAATAAATGCATGATGTAACAGAAGAAAAGTATAAAGTTTTTGCAATAAAAGATAAATGTTCATAACAAGAAGACGTATAAAGACTGACAAGAAGACGTATAAAGACTGACAAGAAGACTTAAAGAAGACATAAAGTTAACGTTAAATATTTGAGGAATTAAGAAATTACAAAAAAGCAAATATTAGTTTAATATAAGATAAATTTTGTTCGTAGAATAAAATGTCATATTTTCGAAATATTGTATCTTAATAAAGTGACAAATGGAAAAAGATATTTATATAAGTCTTCATGTGGCACCATTGAATTGAATCAGGATTAATTTCAAAATTTCACAATGTTACATTCCAGATAAAGTCTGACGTTATTTGCAGTTAAAGTAACGTCTAATAACGACGAAATAACGTCATCAGGTTATTATACGACATGATTTTGGACACATAAAAGAACGAATTAGTATTTTGAAAATCTCATATTCCTTCGCTTTCAAGAGATAGATTGAACATTATTCACGTTGAATTAAAATTGTGCACTGCCAAATGTAAAAATTGCCCAACTCTAATACGCGTTTAATCTGTCTTTTTATCTAGACATATTCGACTTCCGCCTGACAAAGATGGAAGTTCCCAAAAATAGAACATCCAGGATTAAAACGACTATATAGGAAACATATTATACATACACACACACACACACACACACACACACACACATTTATATATATATATATAACGTGAATAGATTGAGATGCAAAGGTCGATGCCATCAGTCTCGGTCCGTGTAAATTTGACACAAATTTATGTAGACGTGTTATCGAACCTTGCATGCCTGTTATGACCCGACTGCGAGATGCTTTTGAGATAATATTGTATACGTCACAGTAGGAATCACGTATACGTCAAAATAAGAGATGTCCGAAATATTTATGAACCGTCACGAATCAGATAAAGCGATCAAGTTTATAGTTCATTAATGAAATCGTTCATTACTTTCCTCTCATTTCCGTTGTGCGTGCTGGATAATAATTCGCTCTCTAAATAATAGCAAGTAATCGAGCGATAAAATAATAAGATAAAAAAAAGGGTACAAAATGTAGTAGCATATTAACAAAGGGTATACTTTAAAGATCGTAACTTTTTATGTGCGGCCGTTTTGTTTCGCTTACCTCTAATCTGGAGCCATCGACGTACGGCGTGGGGATATACGGCGGAATTCTTTCCTTAATATACTGAAATATCCTCCTCTCGCCCTTCATAAATTCTATTTTGTGCAGCAAATTGTCCGTGACAGTGTGGTTGCAGAACAGGATGGCCGTGCTGCCCTGCGTTACATACTGCGGCGCTATCAATTGCACCTTCATGTGCTCCGCCAATGTCGCGTCTGGAAATCGTGAAATCACCGTTCGTATATCTACCGTGTAATCCTGACATCGAAATGTCGCGGGCATTATTTATAATGTTCATTGACGGCATTAATTTGGTACTGTATTTGCAGGGCACGACTTTCGAACTTTTTTCCGATTGAAGGACGATTCTATGACGATAGTCGTAAGTTGTAAAAAGAAAGTCTAAAAAAGTTGAAAATTAAAAATTTACACTGAAGAATTGAGAGAAACAGATGAAATATATTTTTCGATATATTGCAATATTTTTAGGCTTTTCAATTCATTTGAAATTGTTGTTTGAAATCGAACGATTTTACGATTTCGATTTTACGATTAATTTATCAAGATATTTTTATTTAACGTTATCGAATGCGTGTGTATTTTTCATTTTCAAATGAATTCCATTTCGTAAATTAGAAAGTATGACATTTTTCGTACGTTTCCGACTTTTTCGAAATATTCAGAAAGATTATTGTTTAATAAAGAATTGAGCAAGGCTTTTAAAATCGTAAAACTGTTACTTGATGCCATATATTTTGTGGTTTATGCGATATTCATTTAGAATCGAATTCGTCGGGGGTTAACTCTCTCCTCGAGGGGGTGTCGTAACCCACAAACCTATATGAGGTCACGTATAGGGTGTCTTCCGTGCACGTAACATAATATTTTGAGATCAAATTCTGTCAAAAAAGGTTTACCTGAAATTTCACCGAAGAATAAGATTCCCATCAACTTTTACCATTTGTAAAATTTAATTTATAAAAATCCTTACGTCCGTGAATTATTTATAACTGCGAAAATACCATCGGTATCTCTCAATATTCCTTTAACGGAAAATATCAACTCCAAATTGAGAATCGTGGGATTCGTAAGTAGTATGTACGAAATATTGTGACATCCGATAAAAAGAATTACGCGTCTCCCCATTCGCCGTGCTATATGCGAGTTATCTGGTATAAAATATATAATATAGCAATGACGAGAGATGTCAGAGTGGCGTTGGATATTTCGATTAAACGCTGTCAAGATCGTGTTGCATTCGATTTTCATCGAAATGCCACGGACGTGACAACGAGACGACGGCGAACGGATTAATCTAGCTACGGCGGGAAGAATGGAGGGCCTTCGGCCGACTGTAACTACTTGTGGCAGTCCGCCCTGTTGCTGGGAGGTGTTACTGTATCGATCAGAGTGAAAGCGCGCGTTACCGCCGCACGCATGGTATATTATTTCGAGACGTTTCGAGACAAGAGGTCTATTTTCGAGGTCGATTGTTCCGTCGGATAATGCTAATACCACGCGATTTTCTACGCGCCTGTCTGATAAAATTTCAACTTAAAGCTGAACAGCCGATCGCATCAATGTCATTAGTCGAGTTCTTCGCAATTAGGATCGACCGATTTTTTGCGATGTTGCGTCCACTGGAACAGTAGTATAAGTCAATATAAATTGTACGGAATAAATGATTGATTTCAGAGGATATACGTACGTATATAAATGTGTGACTTACACTACGATAAAATAATACTCTTTTTATAATCTTTCTCGTTAAAAATTGATTTTTACATCAAGAATTTCTATAATCATTTTTGCCTCTCACGTATTTTTTTAAAATATGACTTGTATTGATCGATTTATGTAAAAACAGTTTTAAATTAAAATTAGAAAATAATGAAGAATTAAAGAAAAATAATAAAAACCTCTTTTAAACCTTTCTTTTTGAACAAAAATATAAAATGTTTTAATCTAAGAGTGTACAGTAACATAATAGCAATACTTTAGTCTTTTTTATGTAAATGTTTAAGTATTATGAGAATGTTCTGAATGTTCATTTCATAATAATTAAAACCGACACTCGGTTTCTCTTATGTAAATAATGTGCAATTAGGGTGAATATAATTGGATCGATAAATAGTCGAATAATTGGTTTCTGCCACAATGGCTTTTAAAGTGACGCTGTGTGCGAGTGACCGAAAAAGTGACGGTATTTTTAGCTGTTTTAATTAAAGTAATTTATTAATTTTTTAATTTAATTGGATTTTCGATTTTTATTTAAGTGCGTTTTTAACATTTATTTTCTCAAAACTGAAAATATATTACTTTGCATATATTTCTCATTTATATTATATTATATTATATTAAACCTGTCAGAAAATGGAATTAACTTTGAAACTTTCCACATTCAATTAGAATACGGAAAATAGAGAAGATAGTTTTTATCTTGAATGTAATTTCCTTTATATATATATATAAAAATCCTATTATACTTCCACGATTTTAATACGATTTTAAATATATCAATGTACATTGATTTAAATATATTTAATATATCAATATTTTATATATATTTATAATTCTCTGGGTGTTATGTGCTTTAAAATAATGTAATAAAGTATTTAAATATTTTAATACTGTGCACGAATTCATGTTTTCTACTTATTTATCCTATGTGTAACAGTTCTACATTTCGACGTTAATTTCAGATCGCATGTTACTGCAAAGAGATCTCCCGATTCCAAACTTTTTAATCGCATCTGTCAAACTCTATAGTAGTTTGCACGAATCCGGAGAAATCCCGGGAATTATTCCCGCCTTATTGTGAGATCCGGGTAGTAATCGGATCGCGAGCAAACCATTGTTAGGGACTAGCGAATGGCGAAATTTCTAGACTTCCGGAATTCCGCGATTAACGATTAAGATAACGGCAGACCATTGTCGCGACCTTTTGTCTGCTGGAATTTCGGGAAGCAGCAATGTCGAGCATTTCCTTTGACATTACCTTCCACATCGGGCGAGCCGTAGTTCTAGTTTCACGGTAACTGACTTGTACAAAGTTCCTACCGTGAGCAAAACGTTTGACAAAGTGTTCTTATGTCTGTACCGTATGTGCATGATTGTGTCATAACGCATTATCGATCTAGCATTAAAATGGAATCGTTCATTTAGTTGAATATAAATACGCCTTTTTGCTTTGTTTCCGCGGCACGTGAGAAAAATTATGATTGTTGCACTATCGATTTCCAGTTAACACTCATAATGCTCTTAAATTTATAATGAATTTGCGTATTAACGGCGCGTGCTGTTATACTCTGGATAGGAAAATAGGTCGAATTGAGTCACATCAGTATTCATCACGGAGACTTATTTGATTTTACGGCGTTACGTGAGAAAAACACGTACGATCAAGGAAATTGCCACGGAATGACCTAAAACACGTGGCGGCAAGTCGAATGCGTTCGAAAGTAATTTAGTGAAAAAAAAAAAAAAAAGTTTTGCGACGGCCGGATTGTTCGAGCCGTGTTCGAGTTTCATTCGTATTGACATGTATTAACGGTGTGCGTACGTGTGTGCGCTTGTACGTGTCCAAACAAATCGAGGCCATTGAGGATTCATAGTGAATGTAGTACATTGTAGTAATTCTACGTGGGTGGTATGAATGATAGGAGCTCATGTACATGAGATAAAGTGTTCTATTTTTATTCAATTCCACATTAAAGAAGCGAGCGAATCGTTATTGTGATATCAAACTTGCTGCGACAGTAATAGTAGCATTTTAAGAACAACGCATATACACTGTTTCCTTAACAATCGGTGAAAAAGCACTTCGTCACGTTTACGTTTCCGCAACGTGACGCTATTTATTAAAGATATATAAATATCGGTCATTATGAAAATAACACAAGTCCATACATGTATTAATCTTGCCTAACGATGTCATTAATTTTTTTCTCCTCTGAGAGCGGTTGCGTGTCTCGTTTGAAAATCAGGCTCTTTATTACCCGAATGCAAATCTCAGACTTATGTTATCTTCGCAATGATTAATTTGAATATTCATATGATATAAATAAACGGTGAGACTTGCTAACGGTGTCGCTTCATATATTCTCTGGAAAACGTCCCATGGAACATGGCGTAGAATTATTCTCCGTCATGGAAACACGTTAGGGTGCACTGAACAATTAAGCCGAGACATATGTCACACGTCATGAAGTGCAAAATGTGTAATATTGTCAGAGTACTGAATTGTATGGGGAATAATCTGCAGCCTCCACCGGTCGTCAACTGAAACAATAGAACAATTTCTACGAGAGAAACAGAAAATATCGTGTCCATCTCCTATAACGAACGTAGCGATGTTAATTATGAGAAAGATTACATGTGTTAACTTTCTACGATAAAAATAAATTTCAATAAATTTAAGAAATCTGTGTTACTCCTCTGACTTTGGAGTAAAAGTATTATCTTTACGATTAACGAGATAAGATAAGCTGTACCAGTCCCCACCAACCACTCCCATCCCGAACTCTTATTTACTCCGGACGTGTTGATCAATCTGGAGTTGATTTCTTAATCAACAGGCACAATGGGGTAACGATTGACAAACAAATAAAGACATAAAGCTTCTCTTTCTACGCGCGAATCATTCTAACAAAGAATCTTATTCTTCATGAAATACTGAGCGGACGTCACACAGAAAATAAAGACATTTACATCAGTCACCAAAATAATTCGATGCTGAAAAGAATAAGAAAGGATTACGGGAAAAGATGATGGAGACAAATGACGTGAAAATTTCATCCCCCCCCCAAAAAAATTACAAAAATTAATTGGTAAATTGGATGGACGTTGATTGGCATGCCTCGGAAACCGTTTGACGGAGGGATGTTCGCAAACGCGATCCGGGTCGAAGGGCGAGTTGACGCCCGACGGCGAGCCGACGAATTTCAGTCAGTTTGATTCGGTTGCCGGCGCGCAACCACCCCTCGCGTAACAACGACTCTTCAAAGGGATGAAGGAACATAGTACATACAATACGGGAAACGGGGTACGCGCGTGCACGGAGGGAGGGTGTCGATGTTTGTTATCGAGAGGGATAAACGAGCGCGAGCGCGAGCGCGCGGGCGCGCGCGCGCACGTTCACTTACATGAAAATAATTGCAAACTATATACGAGTAGTAGGATTTTTCTCCAGTGACCGGCGGCCGGACGCTGCATTTCGCTTTCTACGAGGTCGGACTCGCTTCTATGACAACGTGCACGTTTAATATCTGTTGCTCACTACGTAGCGAGGCGGAGGCGAAGGCGGATGCGAAGGCGTAGGCGTAGGCGAAGGCGAGGCGAGGCGAAGGCGAAGGCGTAGGCGAGGCGGAGGTACGGAAGAAAGAGCGTGCGTGTCTACGTTTGTACAAGAGTGTGCCTTTAAAACTACGACGCGACCTCGTGTATGCCGGGGAGTCGGCGCTACAACTGAGCCGAGGAGCAGGGCCTTTCGATCGTTCGACCGACCCGTTCCCGTTCGACCGACCTGACCCCCACCGAACGCGAACGTCGGGGGGAGCGTCGCGACGCGGGACGACGCGCGACGACGCGGCGCGCTCGGGCGTCGCGACGCCCGCACGAGGCGGGACCGGCCGCCTTCCGGTTTATTAAGGGAAGCCGCGTGTGCGCCCCGGAATGAGAAATCCGACGAAGATCCGACGTCGGTTCTACCTGACGAGGGGTCGTTGACCATCCTGCAAAACGAACGAATGGCGTAGAATTATTGATAACGGCGTAATCCGCGAAACTGAGAATTTTTGATAACGCCAATAATAAGATTAGAAACTAGATTCCTCGAGATCGTCGAGCATCTCGATTCCTCTTCGGTCCATTCAATTATCGTAATAAACCTAATTGGGAATTAAGGGGAAGTTCATCCCACGTTCTGATAATTATGTCCATCTTTCGAGAGAATAAAATACTTGGAAATAAAAACGATGGTGAAGTACGCTATATAATTAGTTTCATTTCTTCGATAATTATGACAAATTGTTTACCCTGGAAAGAAATTGAATTTTGTGTATGTGTACATGCGCACGTGCACAGCGTACACATACGTTTGCATGTGCGTGTTTTTGTACGTGCGAATTGATGCGAATGTGAATTTATCTCGTGAAATTGTAAATTTATGAAATGTTAAATTAAATAATAAAATTATATATTGAACTTTTATTATATTCTATATTTTTTGGTTCTTATTATAAAGTGACAGATATTTTCAATTTTTTTGATTATTTTAAAAAATATTATTTTATTATATCATATCTATTCTTCTTTCTACGTTCGGAAACGATATATAAAAGATAATTTAATACATTGTAAAATGTATTAAACAAACCCTTGGTTTCGTTGAAGAATAAAACGTAAATTCTTTTTAATTAACATGTATCTCGTGATGCTGCAAGTGGAATATAAAATCTAGTGGAGCTCGCTTTGTGAATTAAATTATTTTATCAGAAAAAAATCGATATTTTGAGTTATCAAGTGTATAACTTTTACTGTTATAATATTATTTTATCCTCAATTTAATTTCGGTTTGGATTTCATACAGATTTTACATTTAACATTTGTTATTTCGTCTTTATGAGTTAGATACCTATATGTACTTTCTCAGTATTTCATACATTTGTTTATACATTTACCTCTTTTACAGAAATTTAATTTAATATCAGAAATATGATATTGGAAATTATTTATTACTATTGTTCGATGCTTTTAATACTCAAAAATAAATAATTAATCACTCTGCCTTCTCTTGTTAAATTTGTATAATAAAAGAATGAAATAATTATAATAAAAAATTTAATTCTTCCAAAATTAATAGAAATAAAAATGGAAGAGATTTTATTCTACATTCTTGATAAAAGATATAGATTATATTTAAAAAATACTATAAGAATGTATTTAGATTTGTGTAATACAAGTGAAATAATTTGTACAAAAATAAAATAATTTGCATTGTTTCGTATCTGATGGGAGAAATAATAGAAATAATAAAGAAGAGAATAAGAAATTATAAAACAGAAAAAAATACAACAGATATTTAGCGCACAAAGATCAATTAGTCGATGCAAATAATAGATAAAACCTTATCGAGTTTGTAATATCATCAAAAAAGGATCCTTGACGAAAATAAAAAATCGAAATGTAGCATAAAGGATGTAGAAGCGTGAATGAACCTTCTAAGAAGCGTAAATTGGAACATCGAAACAAGCATTTTAGAAGTAAAACTCTTTTTTAGTGTGTTCTAATGTTCTAATTTACACTTCTTAGAATATTCCTTCACGTTTCTTCCCTCTTTCCTTACGCTACTTACTTACGCTTCAATTCTTTATTTTACAAGGGATTGAATGTCTGAGTGAGATAGAAAATTTCGAAATTATTTATAAAGTACATAAAATCATAGACGATAAAATTGTTATTATTTATGTAATTAATTCTATTCATTTATTACAATTTATAATGACTGCAATCAAAGTTTAATTAATTTGATCGAAAATTAATAAAAAAAAGTCAAATGAGTATTTGTAAGAAAATTCCTAGCTAATTTATTATCTTTTATCCAATTTTTCTTTTTATATGTTATAAAACTCTATCAGTTAATTCTTTGTAATAATATTTAACAATTCTATGTTAATAGAAAATACAGTGAAATTTTTAATTATTTACTAACCGATAATTAATTCAATTGGCAGAATTATTTAGCTTGCCGCACCATTTCCAATTATATAATTCATCATCTCATATTTAATCTTTTTTGTCACGTGTTAAACAGTAAAAGATGATTATTCTATTCACGTTAATAAAACAGTATAAGCCACTTGATCGCCATTGAAGTTAATCGCGGAGTTTGGTCGAAGCTACCCGGAGTCAATCGATCGAGGGCGATGGTAAAGAGTTTATAAAGCTGTTCGATAAAGCTTTAAATCGTCTCGTCGCGACGAGGGCACTCGCGCGCGCGCGCGCGCGCGCGCGAGCGCGACGCGGTGCGGCGCGGCGCTGTCATTGACATGTGTCGTTGTGTCGACATGTCACCTGCCACATCCCACTGACACCTACTCCGTCGCGATACGCGTGCACGGCACGTGTGAGATACGCCCGTGCCCGGTGTCTCGCAGTGCGATGGAGAACCACGAGGAGGACGAGCTGGAGGAGCTCCGTTCTACGGTCTACACGTTCCCGCCGAACGTGCAGAACGTAATCGAGCAGGTTAGGTTTTACCGCGACGCGCGATTCGCCAAACTTGGTCATTCGGCGACCATCGGCGATGCCAGGTTGCGTCCATCCTGCGCGATTGAAGTAACGGAGACTCTCTTTGAGTCTCCTACGGATTTATTTTAACGTTTACAATATCTCTTTGTACGATGAATTTCTGTTATCCTCAATACAGCGGTTCTCTCGCTACAATGTCTTCCTTGAATCAATTTCCTCGATAGCTACCTGTCATCTGGCTGATTTCGCTTATAATTTACAAACATCTGTTTAAAATTTCTATGTTTTTTTTATGGGTCTAACACTGTTTTTCTTGCTGTCAGGTCTTGACTATCACTGATACGTTAGATCAACCCAATTTCAATGTGGTGGACTACATAAACAACTTGTTTCCTACAGAACAATCATTGTCAAATATTGATGATGTGGTAAATGAAATAGAAGATAAAATATATTCTATCGATAAAGAAATACGGTCGGTTGTACGTGGTCAGACAAATGTGGGTCAGGATGGTAGAGCGGCATTAGAAGATGCACAGAAGGTGATAAAGCAGTTATTTGTTCATATAAAAGATATAAAAGACAAGGCGGAGCAATCTGAGGAAGTGGTCAAGGAAATTACAAGGGACATCAAGCAATTGGATTTTGCCAAGAAGAATCTTACTGCCTCAATAACAGCATTAAACCATTTGCACATGCTTGTGGAAGGAGTAGATACCTTAAGGTGCATATATCGTGCAATAGAAACATTATTTCGACATTTTTTTAGAATCTAAACATAATGAAAGAAATAGGAAATAGAGAAACAAACATAAATTAGGAACAGAGAATTAAATTTCCACATATAAAAAATAATGCTTTAATATTAATGGATATAGGAATATAGGAATATTAAGATTCTGTCAAAAAAAATTTTCTATTTCTAATTCTTTACATTTAATTCTTTTTGTTCCCGTTTATTGTGTCAAAGTCCTTATACAAGGACTTTAATAAATCTATTATATTTCTTTGATTACTTCAGAGTATTAACACAAAAAAAACAATATGGAGAAATTATTTTACCTTTACAAGCAGTAATGGAAGTAATGGAGCATTTCAATAACTATATGGACATACCACAAGTGAAACAATTATCTGACCAAGTAAGGGCGTGGATCATATCATTGATAGTTAATAGAATTAATCTTTTTAATGCATTTTCTTTTTATTATTGGAAAAAGGTACGTCAGATACAAGACGAATTGGCTCAGCAAATTACAGCGGATTTCAAGCAAGCCTTTTCAGGCCAGAATCCAAAACATTTCAATCAATTGACAGAAGGATGCTTAGTATTATCAATATTACATTCTAAAGTGAAGTATGTTACATAAATATTTATAATATTATTCTAAATAATAGGATTTTCTGATTATCTTAAATAATCTTTTTCTTCAAAGGAAAGATCTGCTTGTATGGTTTGTAAATATACAATTACAAGAATATGCACATTTATTTGATGAGAATCAAGATTTTGCCTGGTTGGATAAGATAGATCGAAGATACGCATGGATCAAGAAACATTTGCTCGATTTCGAGTCGAAATTTGGTACAATTTTTCCTCAAGATTGGGAAATTTCCGAGCGGATAGCTGTACAATTCTGTCACGTCACACGTGAAGATCTCTCTAAACTGATGAATAAAAGACGCAATGAAATAGATGTTAAATTATTACTTTATGCAATTCAGAGAACTAGTAATTTCGAAACATTATTAGCGAAGCGTTTTACTGGTAGTACTTTGGAAACAACTGATGCTAAGAACACGATAATTAGTAATGACACGGTGGAAAAAGTCTCGAGCAATTCTTTCGAAGAAAA